GTTGAGAAAATAACTATGTATTCCCTAACCAGGTAGTATTCAGAAATAAGAACTAACTTCTAGCTACTAACACATTTACTTAATCTTCACCTACCACACAAAACAAAGGACAAGAACTAAGAATGAATCATTGCAGCCACAGTTGCCTGGCATTCAATACTCCTTCCTTTTCCTAAAGGTCCTCCAAGTTTTTGTTTGAATGGCTCTGGGGGAAGCTTCTGCTACATATTCACTCAAGGGGTGGAATATGTAGTTTGGTCCTAAATTAATCTGCATAACCCCAAACTGTTGGCTATAATACTGATTCTCAGTACGCATGTGACCCAATTCTGACCAAGAAACTGTAGAAATCATTTGTTAGAAGCTCCTAGGAAAAAAAGCTTCCCTGGTTTTTCTAAGCTTCATTGAGTGAGTGGCCCTAAAATGTGAGAGGCCAACACATTGAAATTAGCCTGAAGACAAAGCGCATACAAGTGTGAGCACACAGAGTGGGGAGCTGCAGAGCCAGGGAGTCTGAGCCACTGAATTCAGTCAACCTCACCCTCAGAGGAGCCAATCCACATGCATACGACTGAAGCCAGCCTCACTTGTATTTTTCTGGTATTTGCAGCCAAAATATCCATTTACAGAAAAGTATACATAAGAAAATGATTGTCTTCTACAAAAACTTACAATCTCAAAATAGTATTAGGAATAACTGAGGCTACTTCCGCTCCTTATACATTTAATACAATTTAAGACAGGGTTCTAATTGTGATCAATACTAAGACATTTTGTACCAAGTCTGAAAGTTTAATTAACAATTTTTTTTTTGCAGCAAGGAGAATCACAAACAAGATCCAGAAAATTGTAAGAAGCTGAAATCCCAATATCTGTCTCCAAGTAGCATATGCTCTGTCTGACCATTTGTTTACACATCAATCAATCACCACTTAGCCAACAAATTTTCACTTTCAGTTTATGTATAGGTCCAAAATGGCCCACTGAAGTGAGAAAACATAAACAGAATTTGGCACCAAGGTAGCTCAAAAATAAGGATTTTAAAGGCATCCTACTATTTTTCTCACCTGAAATTTTTATTTACATTTAGCCATTTTAGGGAAAAATAAAGAAAAAGTACACATCATGAAGCTTATTCCAATACAAGAGGGAAAAAAGTACACACAAAAAATAAACTATCTTCCCTTCTTCTTCAGTACTGTACACAACCAGAAACATCTGAAAAACAAAACTTGACCACCAACAGTCAACTCTAACACTTAAACACAAAGTATATGCCAGCACTAAACTAAGAACTTGCACTAAGTTGTGGGTACTTATCCCCATCACTTACCGTTAAGAAAATGAAGGAGCACAATGGTGAAGTATCTTGCTCCACTGTCTTGTCTCCAGGACCTTAGAGCTATGCAGTAACAGCCTAAATTCTGAACTCAGATAATCCAGCAGTAGACTCCATAAGGATGCTGGCCTGGGGCAAATGCTGTTCCCGAGGACCAGAAACATCTCTAATATAAACAATACCAACAGAAAGCTCTCAACACGTGGTAGAACTCAGCATGCAACTGAAGTTTCAGAAGCAGTTTTAAAATGTGGAGAGACAAAGAAATGAAGCATCACATAAAAAAAGAATTAAAGAAGAAAAACATTCACAAGCTGAAACAATTAAAGCAGCGACTCTACAGGGTAGGCTCAAGCACTGGTGGTTCATAGGGGCTGCTGAAGAGCTAGAGCACCAGCATCCACCTCAGTCTAACCATGTGAACCAGTCCAACTTCTTACCTAGGAAAGCAGCCCATGCTGAAGAAATATGGAAATAGATAAGGTGAGAATATATACTTTCCTAAAGAAGAGTCAAAAGACAGAGACTGGAAACCAGCCACCACAAGAAAATGTGGTGGGTGGGTGAGTGAGTGTAGATTTAAGAAGCAAACACACAGGCTTGGCCAAGTAAATTTCCCAGGTAAACATCAACCTGGACTATATTAAAACAACCTCAGTAAAATTTTTTACTACATTATTTAGCTGCAGACGTCAAAAAATGTACTAGACTAGACAAGGGAGACACAACATGACTCAATACTGAACAAGGATCACCCTCTTTAGAGTTATCAAGGCAATGTAAAAACAAAAACCAGCTATCAGGATTTTTCTTCCCCTTTCCAAAAAAGGATAACGGAGTCTGGCCTTATTTTGTGCAATATAAGGAAACATGCACTCCACTCCATTTTGTTGAATTCTGTCCACACGAGGAGACACCCCAACTCACTCACTCTCCTCCAAATCCTCCCAGCTGCATTCCTACCCAACCAACTGAACTGAATGTCCAATCTTTCAAAATTCTACAAGCAATCATCAAAAGGGCCCCCCCTCTTCTAAGCTTGTATCTCAATTCTGACCTTCTACTATGCTCCTTTTAGAGATTAGTAATAAATTTGTGAATATACCAAGCTATCATTAGGCTGCAAAATGAGCCATTTTTTTAACTTGCTAGATAAGGGCTTAATCATACAAAATGCAGATGCACTGGCCACTTAAAGGGACCCCTCCCCTAAATCTTCCCCCGTTACATTTAAATACTTAATCAGAACTGTGAACATTCTGATTGAAATTTACCACTACTTAATGCTGCCTACACTTGTGACACTACCTTGTCAATTTTTTCAGATCTATTTAAGGTATCCAATTATTCCTATAGTTGAATTGTGTTCTCTATACATCACACACTAAAAAGAAGGAAGAATGTAACTACAGAGCACTATCCACACTCTCCTTAAATCAGATAAAAAAATAAATGTTGCTACACTACCAAATTCCACAAACTACAACTTCCTTTTCATTCAGGTAAAAAGGAATGCATTTAACAAATAAAATGCAAAATAAGAGTAAGTCAGTCTAATAATCCAGCATTTGCAATAACGCTTCAAGAACCTCATGTGATGTTTTTTAAAAATAATGACTGTCTCCCTTGAGTTTTCTGAACAAAGGAAAGTAGTAAATTATAAGCAGCATTTTCAAATCAAATAATCCAATTAGAGATTTCAAGATTCAGCTTCTAAAGCCCATCTTATATGAATTAGCAGTAAAGAAAACTACCAGCTTTTAGTCCTAAAGGGATACAATGTTGTAGACTACAGCACCAAGAACTAACCAAAAAAAGCTAGAGCCCATTCCATTTCTGTATGACCTAGAAGAGGCTAAAAATGTATTGCCTTCCCCTTTAAGTAAAAAGCAATTGCAACAAGCATATGGATAATCCACCACACAACAGAATGCTACTCAGCAAAAGAAAAAAAGGCACTGAGCTACTTATTAATGCATGCAATGTGAACTCAATGGATCAGTCTCAGAAACACTATGGGAAGTGAAAGAAGCCAGGCACAAAAGGCTCCATACTGTAAAGTTCTGTTTATGAAATTATGGAAACGGGAAAACCCATATATACAACAATCAGATCAGCCATTGCTAGGGGCTGGGTGGTGAGAGAGAATTATTTCTTAACAGAACACCTCTATCAAACTGAGGCTTACATGTTTTAAAAGGGTAATTTTACTGCAAGTATGCCCCAAGAAATCTGAGTATTTTTTAAAAATGAGTTCTCTGTCTTATTTCAAAATTCCCTGTCTGGATGAAACTAAGAAACACTCCAGAGAGTGCTCAAGACCCTCAAGCACTGATGGATGTTAAAGCAAACTACTCAGGAGTCAAAATTCAAGGAACTCAGCCACATAAAATCAAAGTTGACCACTAGAGCACCATTTAATTATGTTTCCCTTTTCTTGGTAAGCCTAGGCTATTTGTTCCTCATTCCCTAAAATTAACATTCTACTCACCAGTTTTAGTTTACATTCTCAAATAACTGTCCCAAAAAATTGCAAATTCTACCCATGAAATCTCACAAGGATATTTTTCTTATGGAATGCTACCATCATTTGCATTCTTACACAAAAATAAGAATCTGAAAATCAAGTCACTCTACAGCCTATTTTGATAATTTTGAAATGCACTAACTTCCAGTACTGTAATCAGCAGCTTCTAGAAATTTGAAAGCATTTTTATTATATGTTTATTAATATGAACAAACACAAATCCTTTTTCCACGTTATACCTTGACCCCCTCCAAAAAAAACTCAAACCCAAATTTTCAAATCTTCAAAATCAGTAAGTTAAAAAATCTCAACCCACTGTCACTAAAAGAGCACAAAGGGCAAGAATGTTTACTTATCTATCTTCATGTCATCACAGAGTAGAGAAATTAACTCCAGAAAGGCACTACCATAAAACACAACTCCATTAACTCACGGTCAGATCACAGATTTCCTACCAACAACGTGTAAACAGATATAAGCTAGTTTTTAAAACATATCTGAAGTTGTTAGGGAAGGGCAACACGTTAACATGGGCACAGATTATTTCAATTAACTAGTTTTCAACGCACTTAAATGCTATGATCTATCAAGCTCTAAGTTGCCCATCTCAAGAAGCTTTTTCCCCAGGCGCTTACACACACACACACACACACACACACACCCATCCTCCACCTCGCTGTGCCACAAAACCATAAACTCTTTCTTCTCTTGGGTGCCTTTTCCAAAGACAAACTCTTCTCACGCACTCTCAGCTGAGGGATTCTCGACCTAGCCACGCTGACATTTGGGGCGTGGGGGTGGGGGTGGGGGCAGTGTCTTGTGCAGTACCAGATATTCAGGAGGGCCCTCAGTGATGACATTCAAAAATGCCCCTAGCCATTACCAAAAGGGGGGGGAGCGGAGAAGGGCTGAGAGTGTCAGTATCGCTCCCAGGTGAAAAGCATTGATCTAGCTAGAATATCACCGGTTTCCAAGTTGCAAAATATTCAGGGTTAGTCTCTAGCTTCAGAAGCAATAAACACTCCTGCGGCCCGGCTCCAGGTAAAGGTGGCCAATACACTTGGAACGCAGGACCCAAACCCTGACGCAGAGTGCCCTTCCCCATAATCGGCAATGCAGCAAGGTTATCTTTACCTTTGTAGAGGTTGGTGACGGCGGTGGCTGCATTTTGGAAGGGGACCCAGAGAGAAAGTCCTGGCTGCTGACACACTCGGTCTGAAAGAGCGGTAAAAAGAAAAAGAAACAGAGAAAGAAATGTTATTTGGGCGTCAATCACTCCGGAACGGCCATATTAGGTTTCGCCATTTTGTTGAAGGGTTTCGGGATCCCACAGTGACTGACAAGAAGGCAGCAAAGGGGTCGCGGTGGGGTGGACGGAGGAGCCGCGAGGCTCCGAGGCGCAGCCGGAGGCCCAGCCGCGGCGCAGGGAGGCGCCCCCTCAGTCCCCGCCCCGAGGCCGGCTTCGGGCACAATAGGGCCGGCCTTGTCGCCTCCCTTCGCCATTTTGTGACTGGGGGCTCCTCCCCTGCCCTCCCCGGCCAGGGGCGCCCCGCTACCGGGCATGAGGAGGGGGCAGGTTCCTCCAGGCCGGCCCCCAAAGGAAACTTCCCCCGCGCCGGCCCCGGGCCTCCCCCGGGCGCCCCCGAGGACCGGCCTCCCGCGCCGCCATCTTGTGAGGAGGGGGCAGCGGGGCGGCGGCCGGAGCTGGGCAAGCCGCCCCGGAGCTCTCGGCCGAGGGTCGGGCCCGAGGCGGCGGCGGCAAGATGGCGGCGACGGCCCTCACCTTTGTAGAGCTGGGCCACGGCGGTCGCCGAGTTCTGGAAGAGGTGCCACAGCTTCTGTTGCTTGTGCTCGGGCTGCGCCGCGGCCGCCGCCTCCTCCTGCAGCTCCGGGGGCAGCTGCTCATCCTGCTCGGCCTCGGCCAGGCACTGCCGCTCCCACTTAGAGAACCAGTGCTCCGGCCCGTGCTCCTGGATCTCTGCCTCGCCCTCTTCCTTCCGCTCCTCCATCCTCCGCGGCCTCCCGCGGCCTCGCCGCCGCCGCCGCGTCCTCCTCAGGCTAGGCTCCCGCGGGAGCGTCGTCGTCGAGAGGCCTGGCGGCAGGGCCCAGCGGCCGGCGGCGGCTCCTCGCGGCGGCCCAGGCCTCCTGCTCCCCGACGACCTGTGAGCCCCGCCCCGCGGCCCCGCGCAGCCCGGGACGACCCCCGCCCCGGGCCTCCCCACCCCTGGGCCCCGCCGAAGGTCGCCGCGGGCCGGATGACCGCCGTCGCCCCTAGCCTCTAAGGTCCGAGCCCGTCTACCGCCCCCCCATGGCGTCGCAGCCCCCCGCCCTAGGGCCGCCGCTGCTGACAACCGAGCCCTGCCCACAGCCGTGCCAGCAACACCGAGCCCACACCGAAGACTGAGGAACGTCGCTGCCGCCGCCGTCGACGCCTCTGCGGCTGCAGGTCCCCGCCCTCCCCCGCCCACATGCTGACTGAGGAAGCGCCGCCCACTTGGCCCCAGCTCCCCTGCCTGATTGGGGCGCGTCCGATCGGAGTGTCTCCATTGGTCCTATCCGACCGGTTCCGCGTGCCGGTGTCTAGACACAGCGCCGTGATTGGTTACTCAGCCTGTCTGCCTGACATAACCAATGGGCGGGGGGAAGGGAGTGAATGTCAGGAAGGATGAAGTCGTAAAAAGAGGGGGAGGAGCTGACAGTAGTTGTGTGCAAGCCAACACCCCGCCCCCCCAAAAGAGTTGCGCATGCGCATTTGCCGGCTTGCCCCCCCAGTCCCGGGCGTCCAGCGGGAGTCACGTGACCCGGTTCAGGGACCGCACCCCGGAGGGGTTTTTCCGGAGCTTCCAGCCCCCGGAGACGCAAAGTCGAATCTGGCCACTGCGCCAGGGGACTGGGGCGGTGTTGTGGGTGACAGCCTGCTTAGTCCGGCCCCTTGTACTTGCGAAAGGAGGCGGGAAGTGTAGAAGTTGAATAAAACGCCCAACTTGTGTCCAAGTGTGTAAAGTGCTTCCCCATCAGCTTATTTCAGTGTCCCATTTCTTAGATAGGCAAATTGAGCCTCAAGAGCCCAAAGGAAAACTTTCAGATTACAAACCAGCGGGCCCTTCCTGAGGCGGGCAGGGCGGCCCGCGCCCACTCGGGTTGTCACAGGGTGCGCGTGGGGGACTTTCCGCCACCCCACCCCCGTAATCACCCCGGCGTCCTCTGGGCACACCGTCTCTGGACTAGACTGCCGCCCAGCCGGCCCGCGAAACCAAGAATAAACCGGAACGGGAGGGGGTGCTAGGGCCCTGGCACGTTTGCGCTTTCGCGAGTGCGGCAGCCCCCGCATCTGTCCCTAAAAGCACACTCCTGGGCCACGTGCGGCCGCTTGCGTCACGCGGCAGCCCCCGCCTCCTCCTGCCGGAACCCGCGTGGCCGGGCGGAGTGGGAGGCCCCGCTTACAGGGGGAAAGTTCTGCGCCGGCCTCTCGTTTAACCCGCGGTGCGCAGTCGCCGGGTCACCCCTGGGCCAGACGGGGCTGTGCGTCCACTGCGAACCAGTTGCAGGGCTGGGCACCGTGGTCTCTGGTGGTGCCTTCCCCTGGGGCTCTGGGTCTAGGGAGGAAACAGCCACATAAATGGGCGTTGACCGCACAGAGGCAAAACTGGCCCGCTAGATTACACATTGGCGGCAGGGCCTAGAGCCCCTGGGGGCGTGGACAAGTCGACGTGGAGCACCATCTCTCACTAGCTTCTAGAATACGTTCCTACAAATTTATCTTTAAAGTCAACACCCCTGAAATAAAATCTGACGATTTCACCAAGACCGACAAGTCCCCGCAGGGTTAGGCCCCGCCTCCTCTGTTTTAATCTGATGCCAACCACTGCTCGGATTGTGCTGTACAGGCACACGGGCCTTGTTTCTGTTCTCCCGGCACACTAAGCTCTTTTCTGCCTCAGGGCCTTTGCACTTGCCCTAGGAGTTAGTTGTCGTTTCTCTCTCTCTCTCTCTCTCTCTCTCTCACACACACACACACACCACAGACAGCAGATAACTCTAGAGCTCAGGCTACTGGATGATTCTTTTTTTCTTTTTTTCATTCTAAACTGCTCTTTATAAAACCTAAGCAATATTATTACACATCAACACTTGGTGGGTGCTCATGGCCAACATGCAAGGGCTATGGGATGAGGCTTAAAGGAAGGCACTGTGAAAAGCAGAATGTGCTAAATGTCATGAGAGCATAAAATCAGATTAGTGAGGAAGATAAAAGGGTACTTTTCAGTGATGGGCATCTGGGAGGGCTTCCTGGGAGAAGAAGCATTTTTCACTGGGCCTTGAAGCACTAAGTTTCCTGAAAGGAAGAGGCCCCTCAGAGCAGAGGGACACATGGCCTCAAAGGCTCAGAAGTAGAAAAGGTTTAAATAACCTAGAATTCTCTGGTTTGACTTTAATCACATTTTCTTTCTTTCTGGTGTTGAGATGGTGCTATGTCATTTGGTTTTGTAAGTAATTGTACAGGTACTTCCTAGTTGAGTAACTTTGAGCAACTTAGTGAGTTTCCCTGAGCATCATAAATGGAGCTAATGACATAAATTTGGTGTTTGCTCTCATGATTAAATGCGAATGAGTGAGGAAGGAGCTGAGTACCGTACTAATACACAAAATTACTCAATAAAGACCAGCACTCAAGGTATCTTGGAAAGTGCTCCTTGATTAGCCTCCAACCTTGGAATTGGGAGGCCTGTATGAAAGAATATAATTATAACATCTTTCAGCTAAGATGTGAAAACTTGACGTCCATATAAAGACACAAGAGCCTGGCCCAGCCGGTGTGGCTCGGTGGTTGAGCATTAACCCATGCACCAAGAGGTCACCAGTTCAATTCCCAGGTTGTGGGCCCAATCCCCAGTGTGGGGCATGCAGGAGGTGGCCAGTCGATATTCTCTCTCATCGATGATTCTATTTCTCTCTCCCTCTCCCTTCCTGTCTCTCTCTAAAAATCAATAAAGAAAAAAAAAAAATCAGAAAGCCTGATGACTCAAGAAATGTTAATTAATATGTATAGCTTTTCATTTTTAATACCCTTCAAGACTTTTCATTGTGTATATGTAAACACTTCAATATAAAAGCTGTATTGCACAGTTCATTGTGAAACCTATCTTTTATTTTCCATTTTTAATTTAGCTAGGATATATTTTCCATGTCAACAGTATAGAAGCCTCATTCCCTCTTATTAATAGTCACATAGCATTCCAGGGTATAGGCACATCATAATGTATTTAACAGTTCTCTACTAAAGGGCATTTGGATTGTTTTCTATGTTTTAATACTACAACATTTACTCATTACCCTTGTACATTCATCTTTGCACACTCATTCAATTACTTCCTTTGTATAAATTCCACAAAGTAGAATTACTTGATGAAAGCACTGTGTTTTTCTGTATTCATTCATTTCATTATTATTATTACTGCAAAAGTACTTCATGTTTCAGCTGAAGAATTCCAATTGTACAGAACAATATAAAGGGAAAAGTAAAAATCATTCTACCTACCTCATTCCAGATCCTCCTCAATCCTGTTTCTGAGAAGTAACTTGTAATTTTTGGAAGCTGTGTCCATGTGTATGTCACATATGCTACATGTGTAACTGTATACATGTATGTCTCTCTCTTAAGGAAAAAAGGTGATCATTTTATTTGTACTATTATAAAAACATGTTTCCCTTAACATAATTGGGACATCTTTCCACATCAGGACACAAATTCTTTTAAAATATTGTGAAATATTTTATTGTATGGATTGTTTATAAACAGATTCCCTATTGATGGAATTTAGGTCATATCAGTCTTTGACTACTATAAACAATGCTATAATGAACATCCTTGTATATATGTGCTGCAGTGAACATCCTTACATGTGTGTACATGTATACGTGTATAAATACATATCGTCAGAAATGGTATTTTGGGGTCTAAGATATATGATTCAAATATTTTACGAGACTTCTGAAACACATTTCAGAAAGGCAGAGGTGGGCACTGCCTCCAATAAATATGATGTGCTATTTTTCCAGACTTTGACTATTATAAAATACTTTGCACTTTGCTGATCAAATAAATGAAAAAAGTGTGTCTCCTTGTGGTTGTACTTTGATTAGTCCAGCTTCCCAGGTTGTCACTGGTTTTGTTTTTATAGTTTTTTCATTTTTCTTGCCTTGTAAAATGTTTTTAAATAGAAAAAGATTTTACTTTATAGCTTCTGAGTTTTGCATCAGACTGAGAAAGGCCTTCCCCACTCAAGATTATTAGTTAACATAATTGAATTAAAGTGGAAATGGCAGCCCATCTTTTCTCTCATCTATTTGACTACCAAACAGAAATGTCAAGAGAATACATGCTACCAATAGCTTCTTTGTGATAATGCATGCATTCATTACAGTAGGCAGCAAAATGGTCTCGAAGATTAATTACTGCCAGAAAAGGTCAAAGTTAGACTTAAGGGCATGAGTTAAAAAACATGAGAAAAATAAAATAATATTGTAAGCACAAAAAGGCAATACAAATAACAAGACAAAATAAAACATCTTTTATTTAACATTCAACACCATATAAGTCAGAAAGCATGTTTAAATATGAGCAATGTTTTGTGTATTTTAATACATTACCTGTCCAAGTTTAGGACCAATGTCGACGTTGTTGTTGTTGTTAATCCTCACCTGAGGATATTTTTCCACTGATTTTTAGAAAGAGTGGAGGGAAAGGAGGGAGAAAAAGAGGGGGAGAAAGAGAGAGAGAAGGAGACAGAAACATCGATGTGAGACACGTCAATTGGTTGCTTCCCGCATGCTCTGGGCTGGGGATCAAACCTGCAACCCAGGTATGTGCCCTTGCCTGGGAATCAAACCCTGGACCCTTCGGTGGCCGATACTCTAACCACTGAGTGACACTGGCCAGGGCTATGTTGACGTATTAAGTGCACCCTTGAATCGATTCCTGCATTTCACTTCTGTTGCAGTGGAATATGAGAAGGCCAGTTCTGCACATTTAGGTTTTAGTAGAGAAAAGAACACTTGTCCATTCTGCTGCCTTCCGGCACAGTGTCATAAATTACACACTACCTCACCTTTGATAGCCCATATCTTTATATGCGCTTATTGGTCATTTGTTTTTCTTCTAGCCATTCAATTCCTCTGCCCATTTTTTAATTTGGTTGTCTTTATGTTATTACGTGGTCAGCTTTCTTTATATATTCTAGATACAGGCCCTTATCAGATAT